AGCAGCAACAACAGCAACAGCAACAGCAGCAGCAACAGCAACAGCAACAGCAGCAACAATAGAAGCATGAGCAACACAGCAGCAACAAACGACACCACCACCACCAACAACAACAACAGCACAACAGCAGCAGCAACAACAACAACACACAAGCAAAACACGATAGAAGTAGCCACAACAGCAGATGAGAAGCAGCAAGAACAGTAGCAGCAGCTAAAGCAATAGCAACAGCAGCTACAACAATAGGAACAACAGCAGCAGCAACAACGACTATAACATATGATAACAACAGCATTATTATCGGTACCTTGGGTAGCTATAAAAGCATTAGGTTCACCATTATAACCCTAAATAAAATAGATGCAAATAATGATATCATTAATACTAGAGGACATAAGTGTAGTTCCACAATGTATGTAGTCAACACAAAAACAGGTCACAGGCTTTTATTTTTCATTTGTTTTGTATAAGCCATTAGCATGCAGCAAACAGTCACTGCTAATATATCACTTTGACAACAAATCGATTCAGCTCAAGGTCCCTTGGGGAAGGCTCTGTTGAATGGCAAACAAACATTAAATTGCTTCGTATCTTGAAATTTAAGGCAAAAAATATTTTAGATAAGGTGTTGGATATGACATTAGTAATCCAGTAAAAGTTATTTGAATGAAGGAAGTTTTTTCTTTCTTTCTTTCTTTTTTTTTTTTTTTTGCCATCCAGTAACAGTCGTGTGATTATCTCCTGCAAATGGAATATGACAAACACAAGTCATGAAAAATTTCATGTTATAAAGCATTCAGGGATCATTTGTTGTATCCTTACCTTAATTACGTTAGCATTGATATACGTAGAAAGTGGATTGCCAGGAATTTCTGGGAGAATTACTCTTGTTCTGGAATCTAGAAGTGAAGGAATAGAAAATGACACAGGTTTAGCATCAAATTGCAGAATGCATTTGCCTTTCAACTTTGGGGTCTCTACCTAAAACAGTAGATCAGCCCAGAGGTTGTTTCAGGGTTCTATCTGTGAGTTAGCCATACCCTGACTTAGATCAGCCCAGAGGTTGTTTCAGGGTTTGATCTGTGAGTTAGCTGTGCCCTGACTTAGATCAGAACAGAGGTTGTTTCAGGGTTCTATCTGTGAGTTAGC